ACTAGTACCGATTTAGTTCCATAGACTGAAGACCATTAGTGCTGGAGCACAGTATGTTCCAACTGTCCTGGAAAGCACATCCAGAAAGATGCTGCAATCATCTTCATGTACTCCAAGGCTCACTTTTGAATTGAAGTTCCTCATTTGAACTGAAGTACCAATGTATACCATGTACTCTTTGTACATTTGTGCCACTGAGGTACACTGGGTTGAACTGTGTCACTTCCTTGACAGGGGAAATAGAGCACAGACTGGAAAAGAGTTTGAATGGTGTTCACCTCCTTCCCATGGCATTGGGGTAATCCAAGCTAGACTTAACTTCCTAAATGAACTAGAGTGCACCTTGGTGCCCCAGTCCCCTGTAAGGCTCTTTGCCTTGTCTGCAGCACACTCATGCCTCACACTGGGAAGTACTCCTTGCTGGTCACCATATTCGCCACGAAAGGCCACTGCCTTCAAAGATGTGACTTCACAGAGGAAAATCCAGACTCCTGAGAAATACAGGGTCCTGGACTCTCTTTTCTGGAAAATTGTCTGACAGGTGAGGGAGAGGCAAAGATAAAATTGTGCTGTTAGGGAGAAGAAGAGTTAGGGACTGTGGATTTATGCCCAGTAATACAGGAAAGATCAAAATTTGCTTTTTTCTGGCTCATGTTGAAAATATTTGAAGGTCTAGTGAAAGGTAATGACAATAGTAATAAGCCAAGGGAATGTTTGTGATTTGAAATTATCTTTCTGTACCTAAGCACTTCAGCCTACTTACCATAGATCTGTCTACACTTCAGTTTGTTTTTTGTTTCATCATAGCTTAAGTGGAGAGGAAGGGTAACATGCTAAATGTAAAGGAATATATGCTATATGTTATATATGTTATATGCTATAACAATCCCCCTTCCCCTGGATGCAAAGAGGGGTGCAGTCTTCTTTCTTCATCCATTGTCTTGAGATTACTTCTCTCGCTTAATTTTTAAGTTCAGCTAAAGCTGTACTGTTAGTAATCATTTTAATGAGTAACGTGAGTGAGCAGTTAAATCAATGTATCATAGATGAAATCTTAATTAAAATGATATTTAGTTATGGGAAGTGAGAGTTTCATAATTTATTTTCTATTAAGATGTTGACTGTTTCACTGAAAGCAATTATTTTGTGGGTTTAATCACAATATAAAAGCTTCACTGAAGTTATATTTCTGCATCTTTCTGTTCTCCTCCTTGGATATCCACCATCCTCAAATTTAAAGGCCCATTCTAAAAGGCCAGTGCCAAAGTGTTTGCATTAATTTTCTTTCTTCTTGTGATGTTTTTTACATCTATTGTGACAGTAGGCTACTATGCTGTTTAAGATAGTTTTCTTGAATTTTATCAGAGTAAACATTCACATAGGATTAAGCATAATTATGCATATTTAAAACCACTTTTTCTGAATTGCCCTAAGAAGAATGGAACTGTTTTCATTTGGGCTGCAGGTTTTAAATACCATGCATGTGACTCTGCATTTATGTTTGTGCTTACTCCAATGCATAAATGACGTGCATACTTTTTGAAGATGTTCCTGCCCATGGGAGGGGAAATGGACTAGATGACATTTAGTGGTCCCTTCCAACCCAAACTATTCTATGATTCTATAAATCTAGGGGGTGAGGTAAATTGCTTTGTGAATGCACAGTTAAGGTCTATATTTACAATTTCACCAAAATATTGTTATGTAAATCTACCCTTTTGAAGATGTGACTGAAATGGTCCTTGAGTTCTTGCTGTTCTATATGCCTTTTTTGGTGGAGGACAGAACACTATAATAATTTCTTCTTCCCTCTCCACACACTGGATAACTTTTCCCTCAGCAAGGTAAGGGCTCCCTAAAGAACTACGTGAGAGCCATCAAATTCCCTCAAGCACAGTGAATGAAGATGGACCATCCAATAAGGCCAGGTTTTCAAAGCTCTTCTGCGCTCAAAATGGTAGGCAGGCACACAAATCCTACATCAAGTCTCATATATCCCTGTCAGGGAAGTAGCTATATTCGAGAGAAATAGAGTAAATGTAGGATGTCAGCTGCGGAAAATTACATACGAGTGGTTTTGGGTTCCTCAGTGATCTTGAACAATTAAATTTTGAAGAATCAAAATGCTCTTTGATACTAAGTGTGAAGGCTCCCAGGTGAAAAATACAGTGATATTAGCTATTTATATATTAATGTGGGGGATTTTTTCCTCTTCCTTCTATGTGGACTTCAACTTTAAGTATGAAAATTTTTTTGCATATCCTTTTAGATGAATTACAAATTGTAGGTACCTTGAGGTTGAAGGGGTGGCTTCCAGACTGGAAATCAAGAACTTGTGCTAAATGCCTTTGCTTCTTTTACAGTACCTGAGGGTTAGGTGTATTTCTATGGAATCCAAGTCAATAATTACACTTTTAAGAAGTTAGGGAACAGGTGATACACCCTGGCAGGGTTTTAGAGGTCTTTTACATGGAGTTAATCCTGTTATCTTGCACTCCTCAAACCTGGAGGTTAGAAAGATTTCTGATGATCTTGGGCAGAATTTAGATGCTGACCTGCTCAAACTAGGGTTCTTTTGGTGTTTGTATGGGTGTGGCTCTACAGTTCTAAAGAAATTTTTTAAGTGTATATATGTTTTCTCTGTATCTTCCACTATGAGGTAGCAGCAGAGCTGAAAGTTAAGATGTGATTTTACATCTAAATACTTAAAATCTTTACCAAAATCAAGCTTTGGGTTATTTTTTTTTCCATTTTTCAACATACCATCACTTCCTATTTTATAACTGATATTCGACATTGTGATGAATTAATCAATATTCACTACTTTTTTCTATAGACTTAACCAAACTGAAACTTTCATCTGTAAATTTTTTCTATTTCTTCTCTTTGAAACCATTACTTTAGTAAGGAATCAGTTAAATGAGATAAGCGCAAGAGCAGATTCATAAGAACTCAAGATTCATGTTTTTAACATGGAAAATTAATTACTCTGACAGTAGTCTCAAGCAGTTTCTGAAAGATGGCATTACTTTCCTATTCACCCCAGAACTATGCAGCTCTTTTAACAAATAACTGATAGACTTAAAATGGTTTTGAAAGACAGTGAATTATGAAGCCCTGTTCTTCTATTCATATACTCATTAAACACGACTGAAGAAGAGACAGTGGTTTTCCTTAGCAGAAACCAAACTTAGTAATTATAGTGATTTGAATTCTACAGTTTTGCTTAACCTTGGTCACTTTGCTGTTTCTGAAGTGATGTCTAGCAGGTTCGAAATGATACTATTGACTCCTTTCTTTTTTTTTTTTTCTTTTTTAAAACAGCCTTATTACTCTCAGCAGCATAAGGTGTTTTTAACTGAGAATTTATATACTGTTTTTAGGTTAGCTGTGCCAATACTGTACTCAGCAAGCAGCTGAGAAATATCAGCAGGCCTTAATAACTAACTCGCTGTCCTTCAGTGTATTACCATGTATGAGCATCTCCTTCTTCTAGGCACCCAACTAGGTAATTTTCCCAGCTTTTCTTTGATATTCTTTCCCATTTTGCAGTTTTTATTTATTACTTCTTTTATTTTTCTTAGGAATACAGACAATCTGAGTTGATTGAGTTGACTTCTTTTCCCTCAAGTTTTCTTCTGGTAGTTAAAGATTTTTTATTATTTTTTGTTCCCTGTTTGCTTTTCAAAACTTCTATACCTATTTTCCATCTAGTATTTTACTTACTCAAGGAATAATTTCTTCTAATTTTGAAAGGGGTGGATTTCTATTCTTTACATTAAAGTACAAGGAAAATTCAGATTTGGGACTATCTGAAAATGGCTTGTCCTGATGTCATCCTTAGTCTTGTATCATTTGAGAAATCTCATTGGTGCTGTTTTCATTTTAATTTTATTTTAATAGTATTTTTATGTGTCTTAGCATTCTAAACCCAGAAATCAAATGAAAACTTTCATTTTCTCACTGTTCGTGCTAGGTATTGTTTTAGCCATAATCTCCCATCTCTTTCACTGGTAGCAAGCTGCTGTGTCTACACAGGAGTGACATTAAGTTTTTAAATAGATGCTCCAAACTGCTCACGTAGAAAGAAGATGCCTTGGAATCCTGTAAGTACACTTAAACTTCTTATGTCAAATTTTCTCAGTAGTCACTTTAATTGCATAATATCTTTTAGTGACAGGATGAAATTTTATAGACTGGTAAAGAGTTTTAATGATTCCATAAACATCAGATGCAAAGACATAGAAGCATTCATTGCATATTTTGCAAAATGCGGTCAACTTGACAGATCAATCCATAATAAACCATAGAACCATGGCTACTTTCAGGGCAGAAGGACTTCCCAGAGAGAAAGGGACTTGGGGACAGGCTGTGCTTATGGTCTTGCTGAGGGGGACAGTAATCCTGCTCCTTGGAGCTAGTGCCATCACCTGCAGCAGAGGAGCTGCTTTTGCACTTACTCTGTATTAAATGCATATGCTTTCCTCTGAGCTCATGCCTCTGCCATCATGCTAGGATGCTGCCTGCTGTGTTAATCCACCAGTAAAGAGACCTCAGGTCATACAATAATATGTGCCTTTACCGTCTGCCAATACCCACAGGACTGGCTATTAATTTTCAAGTCGTTGAATTTTCACTTAATGTACTGCAGCTCTCTGAAGCGTGGTGAGTTTCTTTAACCATTAAAGCAGCTGTAAGCTGTACATATAAAATAATAACCAGATGATGATGTGTAAAGACAAAACACTGCCTTTCATCGGCATAACTACCGGATGGGGGGTTATTTACATTTCTGTGCAGTGACAACTTGACTCGAAGGAGTATGATGATGATGATGACTATAAAACGGTTTGCGCCTTGCGCTGAGAACATGTTGTGCAGATTACTCCAGAAGCGCCCTATAGAGAGCTCCGAGCAGGGGCATCTCAGGGGCCGGGAATTTGGGCTGGGGAGAGATTCAGGGACCATCCGACCCTGAAGACGAGAGAAGACATAACGCGTTATCTAAGCTTTGGTGCCGTCGGGACGTGACCGCCCGTCCCCACGGCCGAGGCAGAGGCTGCGAACGTGGAACCTCCGGTCGCCTCCGCCACCGCGGTGCTTTCCCTGCGGTGTTCGGGAGAGGGGTAGCTGGCGGGGTGTGTTTGGCTACTTTGCCGCGTACGTCTCCTGAGAGAGGCAGAAAGAGGGAGCAACCGAGGAAGAGGAAGGAGGAAAACAGAAGGGAAAAAAAACCAAAACCACGCGTTTTGCACGCCCTGGCGCATGTCACAGCTCAGCACCGCGCATCGCCCTCCCCGCGGCTCGTCCTCGCCGGGCGCTCCGCGGCCACGCAGATCCGCCTGCAGCCGCCGAGCCTGCGCCCATCGCGCCTTGGGAGCGCGCAATTCCCGCGGCTGCCCTTGCGCGCCCATCACGCCGCCTGCCTTCAGCATGGCTATAGGCACCGCGGCTGGAGGGGTGTGCCCCTTCTCCTGGGGACGAACGAGAGGCTGGCGGATGTTCCCTTCCCCATGGCTGGGACCGCCCTCCCCAAAATCGCGGTCGTGCCGGACGCGGGGCCGTGCAGTCTCCGCGGGTGTCCGTGCACATCTCCCGGTGTTTCTGCTCCCCGCTGCGGGTCTCCGCTTGGCAGGGCCGAGGGGCTGACTCTCGGAGCCGCTGTCGGAGTAGCTTTAAAAATAAAAAAAATTAAATATATATATATATCTATATCTTTAAACATATATTTATCATTCTATATATTCTGCATATTTATATATGCATATATACATATATGTGTGTGTGTATATATATATATATATATATATATATATATATATATATGATCTATTTCATTTCCCTCTTCGGAGAAAATACCAAATCAATGCCACCCTTTCTCCCAAGCATGTTTCCCTTCTAGTAAAGGAGGCTCCACCTCTGCTAGGGATTGATTCGCCCAGCAGTTTTTAGGATAATTTATGGAGCAACCTGATGAGCCTATTGGGCGAGTTGCTCGGTCCTTGGAGAGTGGGTTTCTACCTGTTTGGGTGTTTCACCCTTCCCGTCCCCTCCCTCTGCCTGCCGTGTGCCGGGGGGTGGTGGGATTAGCAGGGTCGCTGTTCCTCAGCCTCTCCGGAGAAAACCCGGGGAAGGGAGAGCTCCTTCACGCTCATGGATGCATGGGGGGGCCCCACGCCCCGCTGGAGCCGTCGCCGCGGGGCCCGATTGCTGCTGCTGCTGCTGACCGTGCGGCTGGGGAGCGGGTGAGTACGGCGGGAAGCCCCGCGCCTGCCTCCCGCCGGTGCTCGGCTACCGGCGCTTCGCCCCCTGGGCTGAGCTCGGGGGACGTCGGGCGGGCTGGCGGCGGGGGCAAGGGCAGGGGAGGCGGCGTGTGCTGCGCCGCCAAACTTCAACGGAAAAGGTGCCGATGCTGCCACTGTGGCTCCCACGGGCGGCTGCGGGGGGAGCCGGCACCGGCAAAGTAAAAGTTCAGCCGCATCCCACTTGTTCACTGGGCTGGCTGGTGAGTCCAGGCTCGGCTCTGTGCTGGGGAAAGCGCGTCCCAGCCATGCCGGGAAGGGCGGCGGGGCCGTACCGTGCCGTGCCGGGGGCGGCCCGGGGCAGCGGGAGGGGGGGAGCCCCCCGCCTGGAGCGCAGCGAGCTCCGTGCAGCGGTGCCATCCCGTGCCCGCCGGGGATGCGGGGACATGGGGCGCGAGCGCGCCCCGCGAGGGACCGCGGCGCTGCCCGCACCTTCCGCGGGTGGTGCGGGGGCACCGCTCCCGGCGCTGGCACCTTCTCGGTGTGCTGGCCGCGCAGCGGGACATCCCGCACGGCACCGGCTCCTGCCTCTGCACCTCTCGGGAGTGCGATCGGGCTCACGCGTGGGATGGGGCAAGGGCACCTGCTCAAGTCCCAGAACTTGGAAACGTACGTTTTAAGGGAGTTAGAATATTGAGCTGAAGGGTTCTGAAGAAACAACAGTTTGGTACATGGTACATTTACATGTCTTATTAGTACCCATAACAAGTTAACGAAAAGGAATCTGATCATTCAACTCCATTAATCATTCAGAACTAATGGGAACCATTCCACAGGTTACACTCTCATAAAAATCACAAAGCAGCACTGAAAGGGTATTTGACTGTTGGCCAGTGTTTTTTTCTTTTTAACGATAGACCAAATTATCATTCTAAGAGGATATAGAAATGTGTAGTGTAAAGGCTGGGGGAAAAAAAAAAGAAAAGAAAAAAAGGGAAAAAAAATCCATTAAACATTTTTTAAAGTCTATCAGACTCTAGACCACTTCTCCACACTGAATGATGATTTATCAGTCTGTATGTTGATCTCATGACATCTCTCATCCTCAGAAGGCTGTTGTGTTATCCTAGTTAAAACCACCACTTATTATACTTTATTTATCTGTGTCTTAAAATCTTGGTATATTATGGAAATATTTTTCAAAGGCACTGATGAAAATTATACCAGTGCAGCTGTGCATCTTCAAGATGTTTCTTAATGATCATAGTGTACCTCAGGTATGAAAGAAATTATCAAGTGGTTTCAGAGAAAAGAATATGCATGCTAATTTATCAGTTCAAAGACTTAGTTACAAAGGAGGAGGACTAGCTAAAAAAAAATTATTTTTCTTTGTTTGTCAAAGTGTGGTTTGGATTACAGGACTAGGTTATGTATGTATGCATCTCATTAGCATTAATATTTATACATAAGTTGATAAGAAGTCTTCAGTGAGAAAAAGAGGTAACATTAGTATTTATAAATAAGTTGATAAGAACTCTTCAGTGAGGAAAAGACATAACTTACATGCATTATTTTATTCTGTATTACAGGACATCTCAAATAAAATGGAACCTTTGGTATAAATATCCATGTATTTTAATCAACTATTTTCAGCCTTGCTTTTCATTCAGAGACTACATGGAAAAATGGTGTTTGAAAGATTTATCTTCCCCCCCTCTTTTTTTGTTTTAAGTGACAACAAATGGATATGTTTTGCAGATCATTATTCTCTGGTGTGTAATGCGTGTCAACTCAGGATGTTTGCAGAGACCTCTGGTGCCCTTTAACAGTCTGCCACAAAGTAGGATGGAAATACTATTTTTCTGCTTCTTTGAATGCCTCTCTGTAGTTTCAGCCCAAGATTTTCCCTGAAGTTCAGACTAAAACTATTACAGTAGTAATGCTTTTCTCAAGAATAGACCAGGTTGCACCAGTTCTGACTGTTTTTCTAAAAACATCTTGCAGGAGCCAGCCCACCTTTTCAACACATACTTTTAAAAGATTGCAAATTGCAATGATTTTAGTACGCGTTTATACACAAAGTACTTTGTGCTGAGTGTGAGTAAAGTTATTTCAGCTGTTACGAATGGAGCTAAAGCCTAAGCAAGGACACTGGAACTTGAGCTCAACCAAGAGTTTATGATTTTAAGGTGCTGCCCCAAAAGCTATAGTGTGACATTACACCAAATTTCCCTCACCAAAGGGAACTCTGTAAAACAATTGTTTATGCCCAGTTCTTCATCTGCAGCACAAACAGACCAGAAAGGCCAATGCACTTGATGTAACTTCATGAGTTATTGTTTTGAAGGACTACTTTTGTCAATAGCAGACATCTCTTCTGTAGCAGAAATTGGGCTGTGAACCTTTCTATAAGGGAAAGAGTAGTTACCCAGCAGTCACTGCAGTTCTAAATGTTTGGCAAAACCATTATTCTTGTTGAACTCAAATAAACAGATAATTCATAGGCAGAGCATAAGAGCTGACAGTATAATTATTTCTTTAGTTCCAACCATACAGGTGCAGCATAACAGTAACATTTCTTCTAATTTATACTGTTTTAAATAGTATGTGCTGGTCAGCATGCGTAACAGTATATTGTAAGCTTAACTTTAGTTTGGCCATATCTTCCCTTTAGTTTTGTGATCTGATGTTCTAAAAGAAATTACAAATGCTCTGCTGAAATGCAACTGTCAGCACTGTCAGAAGGTACAAATGTCAACTAATATTTTCTTTTCTATTTCAAAGTACCTGTTAGGAAAATATACAATACAGCCTACGTTTTCTTCTCACATAAATTCCTGGATCAGAGTTAAACTTGTCATAACAACATTGGTTTCTTAGTGCTTGATAATAGTGATTTACCATTTCATTTGAATGTCTGTGATGTTTATTCATTATTATCCTCACTTTTATGTGCTTTGCTCATGATGTGACAGTGAAGAACCTGTTATTAAGCAGCCCCAGTGGTTTAAAATATAGTTTATTTTATTAAAAGTTTGTTAATAATTTCTTTTGTTAGTATAAAGTTTAAAGAGACATAAATATTGAGAAATATTGAGAAATTCTTTGCACATAATCGTCTTTCAAGGTTTCAAGGAAACCTTCCAACTTTGTCATTCCGTTAAAAAAAAAAAGCTGTTAGCAAACTGAACTACATTTTCAATTACTTTTAACTTTCTTTTTGTTAAATATGCCTAATGCTACAAAGAAGACCTTTGCTACCTATTCAAGCCTTTCTGAGCTGGACAGAAAAGGCTACAGGTGAGCACTTGTTGACCTTGTTCAACTTTTTTTTCTGAATATGTAGGTCTGTCCACAGAGTTGATTACAAGGGAATTGGGGTAATATGTGTTTTTTCTTTGAAACTGCAGAGGAATTGCAATAATCTTGGTCAAATAGAACACCTAGTTTCTATGACCAGTAAGTGAGACCACTTATACGGACTAGGCATATTCATTGATTGAAAGTGAGTTGCTTTGGTTTAGGCTATCATATATATAAACTAAAAATGTCATGTATGTTGTACTCACAGAAAACCAAAGGTAAGCATCTCAAGGCCCGTTGTTGTTGTACCATTTATGAGAGAAGAGTACTAGCACATTTTTAATTACCTGCATAACCCTTTCTTGCATGGCATACTAAATTGATCATGTACTTGAGCAAAATAATGTTATTACTTATTTGGTAAAGAGGATCAGAGACAACTGCTAATTATAAATGACTGTAATAAACTGTCAGGAACCTTTCAAAGGATTGTGGATGACAATGACACTAACTTTTATTTCTTAACAATTTCTCTGAATGGTAATAATTTGTACAGAGTAATTTAGAGGCAATTGAATTAATCTGGAGATGACACATGAGTCCTGATTTTGTGTTTCACACATGCAAACATTTTTAATAAGACTAAAAATAGTGTGGTGAGTTCAATGACCTACAGGCCTATGTAAAAACTTGATTCTGTAGATCTAGGCTTAAATCATTCACCAACACTGAACTAATAGAGGTAACTAGAGAGACTAGAAAGATCATCAGTAGTTCATCAGTACAGAACTTATTTCAAAGAAGAGGGAAATCTCAATGATATGGCAAAGATGGAAATAGTTTCTAAAATATGCTTTAGTCGGTAGATGTTCCAGTCAATAGGATCTGTTAAGACAATCCAGTCTTATATGAGAATAAACAAAACTGAAGAATTTACCCCGGCTTCTGTATCAGGTTTGCTCCTTCAGTATAACTGTTCTAAGCCCCTGCATAAAGACAGCATGAGGAGGAATCCAGTGAAGTATTGTACAGTATTTCTAGACTGAGGTTTCTCTGGCTTCCAGCCAGTGGATCTCTTGCTTTCTTCTGCTCGCAAAAAAAGCTTGAGCTTTTTTCCCAGTGCCACCTGCTACAGTTGGCTCAGCCGCTGGATCCCTTGTCCATCTCTTTTGGGGAAATCCAGGTCTCGGTTGACACTTCTGGTTCTACAGGGTAGCGTCAGGGTGCAGACCAAGGGCTGCAGCTGCTCTTCATGAGCATGATCTGCATCCATCTGCTCTTCAACAGGGAAACCAGTCATCAAAGCTCATCCTGCATGCCTCTGCCTAGTTTTGCCTTGACAAGAACTCAGAGCACTGCAAGTGAATCCTGAAAATTCTTAAAGGAATTAGCATTTTGGTCAGAAAACATCCTGGTGCCTTTCTTTTTCCAGCCTAGTCTTTGATAATGTGTTGTAGAAACCTCCTCACCTCTTGGAGATGGGAAGCTGCAGTGCAGTTAAATGCCTAGCAGTTGTTGCAGGATGAATGATCTAATCCAAAATGAAAGTTCTACACAAATATGTCACAATTGGAGACACTCTACGCAGAATGGAAATTTCCACTGAATTG